TGGCTCCACCTTAAAGCTGCATTAGCCCCTTATAAGAGAGCGATCCTGTCTTTTGAAGCTTTGGAGCCAGTCACTGACTTCTTCTCTTTAGCTGTGAAAGTCCTAAATAGAATCTTCTTCCAGTAGAAGGCTGTTTTGTCTACACTGAAAATCTGTTGTTTAGTGTAGCCACCTTCATCAAAGATCTTAGCTAGGTCTTCTAGAAAACTTATTGTAGCTTCTGCTTCACCACCTGCTGCTTCGCTGTGTGTTATGGAGCTTGCATCATTATGTTATGGAGCTGGCTTCTTTCCTTAAACCTCACACACCAACCTCTGGTAGCTTCCAGCTCTTCTTCCTCAGCTTCCTCACGTCTCTCAGCCTTCATAAAATTAAAGAGTGTTAAGGCCTTGCTCTGGTTTAGGCTTTAAGAGAGAGTTTTGGCAGCTTTGATCATCTTTGCAGACCGCTAAAACTTTCTTCCTATCAACAGTCAGGCTGTCTTGTTTTCTTATCATCCATGTGCTCACTGGAATGGCACTTCTAATTTCCTTTAACAACTTTTCCTTTGCATTCACAGCTTGGCTGTTTGGCACAAGAAGCCTAGTTTGGCTCTTGACATACCTCCTTTCTAAGCTTAACCATTTCTAGCTTTTGATCTCAAAAGAGCGATGTGACACTTCCTTTCACTTCAATGCTTAGAGGTCCTATAAGGTTATTAATAGGCCTAATTTCCATATTGTTGTGTCTCAGGAAATAGGGAGGCCCAAGAAGAGGGAGAGAGATGGGGGAATTGCCAATCTGTGGAGGGCCCAGAGCACACACATTTATTGAATAAGTTATTCATCTTATATGAGTGTGGTTCATGACATTCCAAAACCATTACCATAGTAGCATCAAAGATCACGGACTACAGATCATCATAACACATACAATAATAATGAAAAAGTTTTAATAATGAAAAAGTTTCAGACATTGTGAGTATTACCAAAATGCAACACAGAGACACAAAGTGAGCACCAACTTTTGGAAAAATGGCACCAATAGACTTGCTGAACACAGGGTTGCCACAAACCTTCATTCTGTTAAAAATGCAGTATCTGCACAGTGCAATAAAGTGAGGCATGCCTGTGCTTGCTTTCCTTTTCAATTTGATGAGAAATCCCCACCAGGAGTTTATCAATTTCATTCATCTTTTAAAGATAAATTTTTGTTCATTAATAAAAATAAAAAATAAGACAAATCAATCTGTGGAATTAGAAGTCAGGCTAGCAGTCTCATTGTGAGAGTCATAGTATCAGGCAGGGATGAGGATGGAGCATCAGGAGGGCTTGGGTGCTCTTTTTCCTGATCTGGATGTTGCTTACAAAAATGTTCACTTTGTGAAAATTTGTTGAGCTATATGCTAAATGATGTGTGACTTTTTTGGTATGTACAACACACTCAATAAAAATCAGTTTGAAAGACAGCTGTTGGGTTGTTAATTCTGTTTGTATATTTCCTTTCTATTTCATTTATTTTTGTTCTTGTCTTTATTATTCACTTTCTTCTACTTTGGTACTGTTTATTGTTCTTTTTCTGATTTATTGAGATAGATACTTATGCTTTTTAGCATTGAAAGTTTAAAGCCTTCTTTTTATACATAACTTTAGATATGTCTCACAAGTTTTGAAATGGAATATTCATTATCATTTACCTTGAAATATTTTCTAATTTCCATTTTTCTTTTCTATTTCAATTTAATTTTAACTTTAATTTCTTATTGCTTTTCTTTTCACCTTTAGATGACTTATAAACATTTTCTTAACTTTAAAACACATGATGTTTTATGAACTATATTTCTCTCTTTATTGCTTTGTGGTCAGAGAAGATCTTGTATGCTTTTAATGTTTTGTAATTAGTAGAGACTTGCTTAATGACTCAGTATATGATCAGTATTTATAAGTGATCCATTTACTTTTGAAAATAATGCTCATTCTGCAGTTGTTGGATGCAGTATTCTATGCATGTCTTTTAGGTCTAATTGGTAATTATGTCATTCAAACCTAAATCCTTACTGATATTTTGCCTATTTGTTTTATTATTTGCTACTAATTGTGTATTTATCTTATATTTGTCTAATTTTTTATTTTATATAAGACTATGTTATTAAATGTGTATATGTTTAGAATTATTACATCTTCTTTGGGAATGAAATATTTTATACTTTTGATGTCTCTTCCCTTAGCTAGTAATTTTTGTTGCCCTAAAATACACTTTAATATCAATATTGTTATTTCAGATTTTTTGGGGGGTGTTTGTATGATACACTTTTTGGATTCTTCAATTAATTAATTAATTAAGATAGGGTCTCACCCTGTTGCCCAAGCTGGCGTGCAATGGCACGATCAGTGTTCACTGTAGCCTCAATCTCCTGGGCTCAAGCGATTCTCCTGCTTCAGCCTTCCCAGTGGCTAAGACTACAGGCATGCACCATCATGTCCAGTTAATTTTAAATTTTTTTCTCCCAGTCTTGCCCAGGTTGGTCTTGAACTCCTCGGCTCAAGCAGTTCTCCTGCCTTGGCTTCCCAAACTGTCAGTCCTTTTGTTTCCAATCCCTCTGTATCTTTGTTTAAGATATGTCTTTCTTAAATTGCATATAGGTTTTTGTCAGTCTTATAAGTTTTTTAATTTTGAGTTTTAATTCTTTTGTTTTATAATTCTATTAAATATAATCTGTATATGTTTTAATATAAATTTATAATCTTACTACATAATTTCTAATTTTTGTTCTATGTTCTGTTCTTAGCTTTTTTTGGATTTAAAAAAAATTATTCATTTTTTTGGCAGCTTGGAAGATATGCACTCTTTAATATTTTTTAGCAGTTTATTCCTGAGATCACAGCATGCATCTGACTCATCAGAGTCTGACATTACTTTGTACTTCTACATTCTTCCTGGGCAGTGCAAGGATATTGGAACATTTTAATTCAGTTTAATCACTTCCTGTTACGCAATTTTAGTTCTAACAGCAATATAAACCTTATGAAAATAGTATACAGTCAATGTTCATTTTGATTAATCTATATATCATTTTTATTCTTTCCTGTTTGTTAAACTTTCTATCTGGGATAAGGCTTCTTCTGCTTGAAGTACATCCTACAGTTTTCCTTGTAGATCAGGTCTGCTATTTAATTACTTCAGCTTTTGTTTATAGGAAAATATATCTAATTCACCATGTTTTTCTAGAATATATTTTCTGGGAACTAGAAGTCAGAACATTAAAGATACTATGCCATTGATTTTTGGCTTTTCTTTTTTTTTTTTTTTTTGGAGACAGTATCTGACTCTGTCGCCTAGCTGGAGTGCAGTGGAACGATCACAGCTCACTGCCGCCTTAATCTCCTGAGCCCAAGCAATCCTCCTGCCTCAGACTCCCTAGTACCTGCAACTACAGGCACACGCTACCACGCACAACTAATTATTTTTCATTTTTTGTAGAGATGAGGTCTCACCATGTTGACAGGCAAGTCACAAACTCCTGGGCACAAGCGATCTGTCTGCTTGGCCTCCCAAAGTACTGGGATTGTAGGTGTGAGCCACACTGCCCAGCCTGCTTTGTTATTCTTTTGGAAATGATCTTTCTTCCTGCTCCTATGATTTCTTTTTAGTTTCCCCACCTTCGCCACCACCACAGTTTTACTCTGATGTTTTTAGATGTGCATTTCTATTTTTCTGGCTTGGGTTTGTTTTTTGTTTTTTAATTCTTGAATCTGTAAATCGATGTTTTGCATTAGTCTTAGAGTTCAAAGCCATGATGTGTGTTAGGATTTTTAACTGTATCCCCTGCCCTCTCTTCTGTGTTTCCTCTTCCTTTATTTTGAATATCTTTTTGACCTTTTGAATATTTTTCTTCTGACCTTTTATCAAATTTACTAATTTTCTCTTAAAATTCGTCTAATCTGCCGTAAACCCTAATCAATTTTTTATTTCTATGATTTTAATGTTGTTCTTTTTCAACAATTATTATTTTTTTAGGTTTTGTATTCTATGCAAAAATATTCAATCCTGTGTTTTTAGCTACTTGACTGTAATTAAAGGAGTTATAATTCCAGTGTCTAGAGCCACGTAAATCTCTATCTACTGGTTCTCTTCCGTGTAGATTGATTTATTTTGTATCAGCTTTCAAGAATTGTATTTGAAAATGTGTTTATGATGTTGAGGAAAGAGACCCGAGCATCTGAGATCACCTCCCCCTTAACTTCCACCCTGCATTTCAATAGAAGAAAAGGCTGGCCGACTGGCCTCCTTAATCGCCTTCCTGTAGATAGCTGGCATAGTATGGGGAATCTTTCTGGAAGGCATTGTTTTTACTTAAACAAGATCAAACTCCCACCCCCCTCCTACTCCCTTGACTAAGACCCTTTCACATGTAATTTCTAAAACTGTAAAACCAAGACTCTTTCACATGTTTCTTCCACCTTTTGGCTATTGTGAGTAATGCTGCTATGAACATGAGTGTACACGTATCTGCTGAAGTCCCTTCTTTCGATTCTTTTAGGTATGCACTCAGAAGGAGAATTGCTGGATCATATGGTAATTTTTTGTTTGTCTGTTTTGAGACGGAGTTTTGCTCTTGTTACCCAGGCTGGAGTGCAATGGCGCGATCTCGGCTCACTGCAACCTCCGTCTCCTGGGTTCAAACCATTCTCCTGCCTCAGCCTCCCGAGTAGCTGGGACTACAGGTGTGCGCCACCATGCCCAGCTAATTTTTGTATTTTTAGTAGAGACGGGGTTTCACTATGTTGACCAGGATGGTCTCGATCTCTTGACCTCGTGATCCACCCGCCTCGGCCTCCCAAAGTGCTGGGATTATAAGCGTGAACCACCGTGCCTGGCCCATATGGTAATTTTACGTTAATTTTTTGAGGAGCCCGCCATATTGTTTTCCACAGCATCTGCACTATTTTGCATTCCTGTCAGCAATGTACAAGGGCCCCAGTTGTCTGGGATCTCTGTTTGTTTTAGTAATAACGATCCTAATGAGTGTGAGGTGGTATCTCATTATGGTTTTTATTTGCGTTTCCCTAATGGTTAGAGATGTTGAGTACCTTCTCATATGCTTATTGGCCATTTGTATATCTTCTTTGGAGAAATGTCTATTCAAATCCTTTGCCCGTTTTTGAATTGGGTTATTTGGGGTTTTGTCATTGAGTTTCAGGAATAATTTATATATGCTGGATATTAATTTCTTATAGATATGTGATTTGCCAGTATTTTCTCCCATTCTGTCTATCTTCATATTAATCACATAGGCATCACCCTTCAGCAAGTAGACTTTCACTTATTCTTCCTGCCTCAGCCTGTTTTCTCAACTTACCTCTGCCACACCTGCTCTGAGTTCTGTGCTGTGTGTGCCTGGTTCCCGCAGATAATACATTTCCCTTCTCTTGCTGGGGTAGGAGAGGGTTAGTCACTTGACTGCATGGGAGTAGGAGGAGTTTTACAGACCTAGGTGTTCCTTATAAAGGCTCTTCTCAGAGGATTCTGTACTTAGTCCGCTCCCCAGCCATGCCTCCAGCTCCTGGGCCTTTCTGGAATTCTGTGGCACAGTCCTTCTTCTTGCTAGTCATCCCTTCTTTAAACACATGAGATTATACTTTCTCTGCTAGGTCACTTGCCAGTTTTATTTTACTTTATATCTTCCAAAACATATGCTGATATGTGCCATCAGCTGTCCCTTTCTTTCCTATTCCGTTTTCCCTGAAGAATAAATATGCTTTTATCTCAGTGCTGCCACTTTGATGGGGTGGCAGGAGGGAGTGGTGGTAATACTTGTTTAAGCCCCCAGGTCTACCGAAAGCCTATTTAATTCTGTCAGTAAAAGAAAATGATGAGACAAGTCTCAATCACTTTTGGAGATTTATTTGCCAAAGTTAAGGATGTGCCCGGGAGACAGGTGTATGCCTTTCTCCCAAGATGATTTTGAGGGCTCCAAATTTAAAGGGGAAAGGGTGGGATATTGAGAAGCACATAGTTCTCACTTAAGCAAAACAGGAAAAATGTGAGGAATATGCATTTTATATAAGATAACACAGACAACATGGGGAACAATGGATATGCATTTGTGTCTGGCAGGCCAGGGTGACTACCTGTAAAGATAAGCTATCAATTAGCATTGCCATGGTGAAGTTTTAACAGCTCACCAGGGATTTCCTTGTTGGCAAATTATGTGGAAAATGGGTAACTTTTCATCTTGTAGCCATTTCATTTAGGAACCAAAAGGTGGAGGCAGGTTTGAGTGACCCGGTTCCCAGCTTGACTTTTCCCTTTGGCTAAGTGAGTTTGGGGTCCCAAAATTTAATTTCTTCTCACAATTCTCTCAATAGCACTAAGAATACTTGTGCTACTTTTATTTATTTATTTAGAAAAAGAGTCTTGCTCTGTCGCCCAAGCTGGAGTGCAATGGCAGGATCTTGGCTCACTGCAACCTCTACCTCCTGGGTTCAAGTGATTCTTGTGCCTCAGCCTCCTAGGTAGCTGGAGTTACAGGGACCCACCACCATGCCCGGCTAAGTTTTGTATTTTTAGTAGACACGGGGTTTCGCCATCTTGGCCAGGCTGGTTTTCAACTCCTGACCTCAGGTGATCCTCCTGCCTCAGCACCCCAAGGTGCTGGGATTATAGGCGTGAGCCACTGCGCCTGGCTAGCTGTGCTAATTTTGAAGATAAAATGTCCTGATCACTCAGTTAGCAGGTGGTGAGGCTGGGTCTGGAGCACAGATCTGCCTCATGCTGGAGCAAGTGCTGTCATGCTCACCCTCATATGCTCATCCTCATGTTATGCCTTCTGTCTAGTTAAACAAACCTTATGCTTAAAAAAAAATCTATTAATTTAATGTAGAGAAGTCCTAGGCAAAATAAAAACATTTTAATTTTTTTTTCTAGTAAAGAAGGAAACTTGCTTCAAAGTTCTTAAGTAATTATGCACATCCCAGTAAGAAATCTTTCAGCTCTTAAGTTGCACATCTTCACTGTGGCACATATGAATTTAATAATCAAAATATTATTAATAGCAATAATAGAAAATACATATCTGTTTATTAAATGCAACATGCATGCAATTTTCAAAGAGTGTACAACTTAAAAAATAACTGATCATACTTCAATCTTTATCAATCTCTTTCTTTGATGTACATTTCTTTTAGTAAATGTCATCTTAGAAAGCACAATAGTGATACATAACCCTTGGAATTCATGTGTTTGGCAGAAGACCCTGGAAATTCACCTAAAAATCGAATACCGGAGAATTATCTGGAAATTTGCAGTCCACGAAGACTCACGATCAAAACTATATCTTCTTGGTTTTAGGTTACATGTCTGGCAGTACAGTTGGTTGGATATTAATTCGATTATTTTCGATGGATCATTTCTTATTCTATGCCTCTTAAGATAGGAAAGAAGAAATTATAGAGTAGTGGCTGATTGCATGGACTTTAGGACTTGACTGAACTTTGTTCAAATCTGGGGCCTACTAGTTGCATGACCTTGAGGAAGTCTATATCTCTAAACACAGGAGTTCCTTGGAAAATGAGGACAGTAAAAACAGTGTCTACTACATGGAGTTTTTGTAAATATTAAAAGAGGAAATAGAGGTTGGCACAGAGTCTCACCTGTGTAATCCCAGCACCTTAGGAAGCTGAGGCAGGCGGATCACTTGAGGTCAGGATTTTGAGATTTGAGACCAGCCTAGCCAACATGGTGAAACTCCAACTCTACTAAAAATATGAAAACTAGCCAGGCATGGTGGTGGCAGGCACCTATAATCCCAGCTGAGGCAAGAGAATCTGTTGAACCCAGGAGGCGGAGGTTGCAGTGAGCTGAAATTGAGCCAATGCACTCTAGCCTGGGCAACAGAGCAAGACCCTGTCTCATAAATAAATAAATAAATAAATAAAGGAAATGCAGGTAAAGGGTTTAGCATGGTGTCAGGCACATAATCAGAGCACAGTAATGGGCAAGGGCTATTGCCCTACATTTGTTAAAAGTTTTGCTGGAGAGGCCCCTAGAAAAGTGAATGAAATGGAAATAAACAGAGGAGGGGGTGGATATGAGAGAAACGACAATTTGTTGAAAGTCTCCTTCATACCAAGCATATGGAACAGTAGTTACATAGCTGAATCACTTTCATCCTGCAACAACTCCTGGGTCGTGTGGGGTCACCCACTTCCCAAACAAGGAGGAAAGTAAGTTGGGGCCACATAGAGGTGGAAGTGGAACTTGGATTTCTGTTGGCCTGAGTCCAGTCTACTCTCATTCGTTACAACATGCGCCTTGCTGAAGCCGGAAGCTGAAGTGACCGGAAGTCAGGTCATCTATGAATTTGTATTCTATTCTATTTCTGGATCTTTCTTTCTGGTTGTTTCATTAATGTTATGTTATTATGTGTAAAGTACAAAATTAATTTCTTCTCCTTTATTAATCATCTTTAGGGTGTGGGGTTAAAAATAATTGTCCCTGATTTCTCATGGGGTATTTAAAAATAAAAAATTTCATGAGTTATTTTAGAGGGCATGTCTCTAGATAAAATGATAAACAAATTTTAGAACTAGAAGAGCCTTTAGAGATGCCCCGGAGAACGTGCTCATTCGACAGAGGAAGCGACCCAGGTTTAAAGAAAAAGACTTGTCCATGTTCTGACAATGAGTTAATTGCAGGGTGGTCCTGACTCTTTTCCACAACCATCACCTTTTGGTCATTTTTCCTCTCTGCCTGATGTGGGAGGAGAGAAGCATCATGGCTCCCTTACAGGGTTGTAGACTCCTCGACAACTTCAAAATCTTCCAATTCAGTCTTGTAAACCTTCCTCTAATTCCACCCATACTTAATCAAAGTGGTTTCTAACAGTAATAATAAGTGGACTTATTATGAGAAGTATCTATCGTATATAAAATATACCTGGCAGGTGGTAATTCTATTATTTTCACAGATTTTTTTCCTCTATCTTTCCTATTGCCCTTGTCTAGGAGAGTCTAGGCAACTGGGGCTTCAGTGCATCCTCAAAATGGCAGAAGAGACACATGCAGAATTGGAAGATTGGCTGTGCAATAAGGTATGGGTTGAGAGGTCACAAGACAGAAAGCGCAGCTTAATAGCACTCCAAACCAAATACGTATCTCCAACACCTATGTCTCTACTTTTATTTGAAAAATAAAATCAGGAATCTTGTTAATTCTTTCAACAGATGTCCATTCATCTTTCAGCTTTAGAAAACAGTCAGTCAGTGTCTTTGGTGGTCGCAGTGGAATGGGAATATTATTTCTCTGGTCAGTTGCAAATGTGGAAAAGGGCAGTAGCCCCCAACATCTGCCTCACCAAGCAAGATATGATGCTGTGCACAGTGCTCAGGGGAGCAGTTAGGCTTCTCACCGTGCCCTTATTAGAAAGTGAGCAGGTGCCACACTGTGCACGCATTAGCAGAATACACTGAACGCAAGTTGCTGGCTCAGCCTATTGTGCTGATTGAGGCAAAGCAAGAGCAGGACCATTATGAAGACTCCTAGACTCAGAGCATGAGGACCGTGAAGCAGTATGTGCTACATATACGTTTTTTAAGTTTTGCAAATTTGAACTTCACTTATTCAAACATATATAACCCTATCATTAAACACCAGGAAAACATTCTCCAAGAATTCATCTGTCTATAGAGGGATGCTTTCAATCTGAATCAGCCTTGCTGATGGAATTCACCGAATCATAACTGTCAACAGTCAAGGCATGCAATGGCCCACATGGGGCCCTTTCCAGAGAGACATTGGAAAAATAGAGAAAGGACTCTCCTTGCTTCTGCCAATAGCCCCTTAATTTGATTGTGTCGATTGTTTTCCAAAAGCATGGGAGGGAAAGGAATGATTTAAGAAACACAGGGGTGTGGAAGTGAGGTCCAAGACCCTGCGGACAGGAAAAGGCAGTCATTAGAGGCTGCTCACATCATGCTGGCTGTCAAGGTCCCCAGTGTCATCTACCTCACAGGAGTGGCCTGAGTCCTATTTCTCAGCATTGTTTGATAAGATTTTATATTAGTCAGAGAAGAAAGAAAAAAGAGGTTTTTTTCCATCTTGCAAAAATTATTTGGGGCAGCAACACTGAACATTAAATTTTTCTGAGCTCACAGTAATTAATGAGACCTTTTCAAGTTTCTCAAAATTTCTGTCTGCTTAAGGGAAAAGAGTCATTAACATAAGCAAAAAAGGAAGAAATTATTATTTGGTACTCATTGAAAGCAATGAGTATGGTATTTTATTTGGTTTTTTAATTCAAATCTGTTGGCTCCTAGCCTTCTTCATATAGTAGCCTCAGGGATGTCATCGTTGTTGTTTTTGTTTTCTTTTGAGACGGTGTCTCACTCTGGTTCCCAGGCTGGAGTGCAGTGGCACAATCTCAGTTCACTGCAACCTCCGCCTCCCAGCTTCCAGAGATTTTCCTGCCTCCGCCTCCCAAGTAGCTCGGATTATAGGCATACGCCACCATGCTCAGCTAGACTAATTTTGTGCTTTTAGTAGAAATGGGGTTTCACTATGTTAGCCAGCCTGGTCTCAAATTCCTGGGCTCCAGTGATCTGCCCGCCTCAGCCTCCCAAAGTGCTGGGATTACAGGCGTAAGCCACCATGCCCAACCCAGGTTATTTTAAAAGGAAAGATTTGACTTTCTCCTTAATCACGTTGTCTTCTTGTATTTCCCGTCTACCACCATCTACTGTCTGTCTGATTCTCTAACATTCTGAACCTTCTTCCTGTTCCCTCTGAAATGTAATTCTGTCTATGCC